ATCGCCCAGATACTTATATAGAGCATCCGGTTTAAGGTCCGGCCTCTATCGCCCAGATACTTATATAGAGCATCCGGTTTAAGGTCCGGCCTCTATCGCCCAGATACTTATATAGAGCATCCGGTTTAAGGTCCGGCCTCTATCGCCCAGATACTTATATAGAGCATCCGGTTTAAGGTCCGGCCTCTATCGCCCAGATACTTATATAGAGCATCCGGTTTAAGGTCCGGCCTCTATCGCCCAGATACTTATATAGAGCATCCGGTTTAAGGTCCGGCCTCTATCGCCCAGATACTTATATAGAGCATCCGGTTTAAGGTCCGGCCTCTATTGCTCAGATACCTATATAGAGCATCCTGTTAGAGTTCCGGCCTCTTATACTTGTTACCTGTGATTGGTTACTTGGGTACTTCTGGTGAGCATCCGGTTCGAAGTCCGGCCTCCGTACTGTCAGATTTTACTAATTAGGGTTAAGGTTCTGATTCGTGTTCTTCGTTCTTCGGTTCTTTTATGCAATTCTCTTTAGTTATAGTTATTTTGTGTACTCGTCGGGCTTATGGGGGTCCGTTCGGGTTTTTATTTAACTTGCGCACGAGTGTACCTTCTGGGCTTATGGGGGCCCAGTTAGGTGTAGTTAGCTTATAGATTACTTTAGTTAGTTCTTTGTACACTCGTGTGCATTCCCTTGTTAGTTGGATTTTAGTTCTTGACTTCGGTTTGTGTTATTCCTTCTTTTCATATTGCCTTTACTTTTCAAGTTCAGTCGGCCTATGATGCCTACTGGGTACCGGTTGTTTTGGTACTCATGCTACGCTCTGCATCTATTTCGTGAAGCAGGTCCGGGCACTAGTAGCCAGCGTTGATCGAGCTTGGAGCAGACTGATCCGGAGACGGGAGTGAGCACACGACGTTTTGTACTATTTCAGTCTCCATCTGTATATATAGACTTATCTTTTACCTTTCGAGACAGTCCAGTCTCAGTTGTCCAGTTTTGGGACTTGTAATTGTATGTTATCTGTTTTACTAAGTTGTGATTGCCTATTTATACTTCTTATAACTGGAATAGCAAATGATCATACTAGTAAACTCTGATTGTGTACAGATACTGCACTTGCGCTTTCTTTGTTGAGTACAAGGCATATTCACGCAGCTACTTTGTGATCTCAACTGTGATCCTAGTGCTATCTGAATACAAGGATGAGTTATTCCTCCGGTCTGCCATGGATTAGTCTTGTTTTTCTAGTTCGTTTTCCGGACTTAGACGTTCTTTAGTTTTTTTTTTTGGGATTGCATCACCATATTCTAGACTAGTAAAAGTTTTGGTACTCGACTTTCAGGTTCCAGGAGAGATATTATCGCAATTGTTTATGACTTGGTAAGGTGTAAGTGAAGAAAATAGAAGTCAAGCCTTATTTCGAATTGTTCGGTATTTTAGGACCGAAATAATTAGGTGTGATGCGGAAGCTAGCAAAGCAAACCTCAAAAGACCATGAGTAAGAAGACAAACGAGAAATATGCCAAAAGACACAAAGATTTAACGTGGTTCGGTCAATCGACCTACATCCACAAAGGAGATGAGCAATCGACTATATAAATATGAGAGTACAAAATATAGAGAGAAATAATCTCAACCAATTCACTCGGAATACATGAGAGTAGGGGTGTACATGGCCGGGTTGGTTCGGGTTTTTCAAATATCAAACCAAACCATTTAGGTCGGATTTTTAAATTTATAAACCAAACCAAACCAATAAAACTCGGGTTTTTCAACCTCGGGTTTTTTCGGGTTTTTCCGGTAAAGTATTATTCATACACAACATATAATTTACTTGTACTTCAAATATTTCTTTAGTCCTACCAAAATACAACTATCTAAGATGTTTCTTAAAAATATAACACAATATGATATGATTAATGACACTAAAATATCCAACAAAAATAATAATAATGAAATCGCGTAAAACAAATATTGCAAATTAACAAGTCATAATGAAAATGATCATAATTTAAAAGTACTAAATCATGCTAAAATTAAGTTTAATAAGTATTAGTTACATGACTAAATATTAAAGAAAATTAAAATTAAATTATGTATTTTAATTGTC